ATAAAATTGATTATACATTTTTAAAATTAAATTAAAGTTAATTAAATAGAGGGATAATTGTTTTATTAAAGTAAACAAGTCATATAGCAGCCATTTGCAACTCGACTGACGTAATGTGGTGTTGCCAGACGTTTCACAGTACCGAGAAAGTTAAATCATAAAATAATGGTTTCTGTTTTGATTAGTTCAGTCAATCCCTATAACCTCCTTAAGTTATGTATTTCCTAACAGTCAAATACTATACATAAGAGATTATGTTAGATTTGTCTGTGCTCTTTGCAATGCTTTTCGGCCTCCCAGAATTCAAGATAATCCCAATGATATGATAATAGCTGAGAGAATGCTTTAGTTAGTTTCTCGTCCTAATAAACTAAAGGACCGTGTGGAACTACAAGGATGGTAAAAAAAGAGTAATGTGGTTGCCAGTCACAGAAGACTCCTTGACCGATTTTCCAAAATTGACCTTTGAGGAATTAAGATTTATGACTTTAGGAGTTTACCAACTAAAGCAGGCTAAAAGCAACACACAAGAACATTTGTCCGAAACAGGTCGCTAATAAAATAGCGAAACACGAATCGGCGAACGTCAGTCATTTTCGTCGGAAAGATAAATTAATTTTTAAAATGGAGTATTCCGCTGATTGAAATAGTTGTTAGTCGCTGATTCGCAGCTGCATACTTATAGCTTTTTCAATCAGCGACTATTCGCTGCCAATCAGCGGATTTTAGCTGATTCAAATTTAGAGAGTAATTAATTATTAAAGTTAATAAAAAATGATATATTTTATAGACAAATATAGTTATTGTACTTCTGACGTAATTTAATGAAAGTTGACTTAATTCCGCATCCAACGAGCCCTACATGAAGTATTTTAAATTAGTGGACTGTTAATAAACAATTGGCTAAGATTTCAATTGTTTATAAAAAATCCTCTAATATAGGTCAAATTTTTTTTCATCTTTCTGTTTAAAAGTTACAAGTCTTCAAAAAATGAAAAAATCACTGTGACACGCTTATAGAACATCACATAAAAGCGTCCTTGTCGCACTTGTAGACTGATTCATAATTCAGTATTCTTATTGTACCTATAATTATATATAAAAGCATACATTGTGCGCGCGAAGTGTATGTTCCGTTGACGTAGGACTTTTACATTGTACACCGTTTTTCGTTATGTTACCAAAGTTTTCAACCAAAATAATAGTTTCCATAGCATTTCTACATATATCTATTATAAGAATCTGCAGTTTATAGAAAATCGATTTTTTTGAAAAAAGATGTGGTACTAACCCCTTTAAAAAACTAATATGCGTTTTTAACTTAAGAAATAAAGAAAATATTCTTTTTTTACAGAAATAATCGCCATGTGTGGATTTCTTTGGCAACGCGGCAGAAATTTTCATATAGTATAAAGTGGATTGTAAATTTTTTTTCAGTGGTATAAGTTTAATATTGTAAAGAATTGTTTAAAATAACATAGAGCCTATAGAAGAATTGTTCATGTCTAAAACCGAATTGATTGTCAGGAAATATTTTGTTTTCATTACAAAAGCGTGTTATTAAATTATTTATAGTTGCATCATATATTTTACTTGTAGTGGGCGTTAGACTAATTGGTGCTAGATGGATGGATTATATTTTTAACTTTTTTATATATTTGAACTACTTTTGAGTTTCCAAGAATGAGAAAAATGATAGTTTTAATTAACTTATTTATTAAATATAATTAAATGAAAAATAGAAATAAATAAAATATCTAAATTAAAAATATTTTCATAACATTGCAAGAAGCTTTCTGCAAACTTGACAATCATTTATTGCAAGCTGACCGTATATTTTTTGCTAAAATCGTCAATCGTTTACGAAACTTCAACTATAAAATAGGTATTTTTTTAAATTAAATAAATTATAATTTTTGTTTATAAAAGTATTAAATATTATAATATTAAATAATTGATAATGTATTAAATATTATGACTTATTAAAATTACAGCGTTTTCAGCTGATTTCGGGATACTTTATGTGCTTAAAGTTGTCTGAAAATATTTGACTTTGTTTTAATTGATCTACTTTTAATGCTGCTATGCAGTGAAAAATACTATGTTATACACAAAGAGTCAGGTTGGGTCAAAAAGTGGCGGAAATAGGACTACATAGTTTAAGGACACTCCCTTGTAAGTTTGTGCCTCCCATACTGTAAATTCTTGCATAAGGTTCTGTACAGAGATATGAACACGATCACGTTCCAAAAATAAATTTAACATAATTTCTGTACGTGACTACATATAGCAAGTCTAATATGAAAAAATTGCTGCAAAAATTTTGTTGAATTTAAATTATTCTTCTAATACGTAATTTTCTACTATACCTACCCAGTGGACAAAAAAAACATGTTCGTTCGAAAAACGTTCTTAAAACGTTTTAAGAACATTATTTGGCGGACATGAAACGTTCCAAAAACGTTTTTAGAACGAACATGGCGTTTTGCCCACTGGGTACTTTAAAAACAAATGTCCAGTCGTAAATGTTCAAGAAAGCTACTGCGCAACCTTCAAAGATTTATCTAAAATCACACATATTATAAAAAGATTCTGTTGTAATTAAAGTCGTATGCAATCATGTTCATGTTTTTCAATAAATGAATAATAGTTTTAGCCAAACAAGAATTGGATCAAGTACATGTAGGGGAGCTAGGGGCTGATTGTAGTGGAAGGTGGGGGAATTAGAGCCCCTTATGGAAAATAACTAAAAAAACAACTTATTCTTATAATAAAATATTGTTTCGGTCATATTTTACTCCTTTTGTTATTTATCTTTAATTATAATTAATTAGAAATTAACCCAGGTGGAAAAGTTCCCGGTAGTGACTACCGGTAGTAACTACCGGTACCGCTACCTGTACAGTCACTACCGTTAGATATCACGTTTAAAAATTAATTTTTGTCATGAATATTTTTGATTAAAATATAATTTTTTAACCAATAATTCCTTTAGAAATAAATTTTTTTCACCAATATTTTTAATTAAAAAATTTTTTTTAATGAAAATTTCTTTTAAAAATATATTTTTTCTTTCTGTTAAGAGGAGGAGGTAAAATCCTAATTATTATTAGCAAAAAAATCGCCTTGGCTTGCGATCACTGAGGTTAAGCACAGCTGAGTACAGCTAGTACTTAGATGGGTGACAGTCTCGGTGCTCGCTATAGCCCTGGTGTTTTCACAGTGATCGAGATATATCAAGCGGGAGGTTTAACGTCAAGGATATGTTTGTGCATTTGGATGAATATTTAAATGTACATTCATAACTCGACAGTCAATAAACCGGGATCAAGAAAGGGTCAGGCAAATGCGAATACTTCTAATAAAAGTTGGCTACTGGCCGCAATTTGGGGATTTTTGGAATTTGGGATTTTGAGAAGTGAGGTTAAAGATTGGGGATAGAGAGCGTAAAAACCTTAAAAATGTTTACGCAGAAAATCTAAATAAAATAAAAAAATAAAATGAAACTACCGTTAGTGTCTGTACAGGTAGTGACTACTGGTACTACCAGTAGTCACTACCGGGAACTTTTCAACCTGGAAAAAGAAAGAAAGGAAATTTGTAAAAAAAAATTTTTTCTAAAAAAATGTATTTTTTCCTATTACCCCACCTGTGAAGTATTGGGAGCTCTTACTTAAAATTCCAATAAAATGATAAAATTTTTATTTTCTTTCGATATTTTTTTTTGTTAATAATTCTCGACAGATGAACATTTTACAAAACATTTAAGACGTAAAAAAGACCTGCAACTTCTTTTGTACTAAAATATCCAATAATAACACATTTTAGACAATAAAACACAAATATGGATTCTGAGAAATTAAATATGCAACAATATCAAATTTTATAAATGAATCTTGTTTAATTTTCAAAAAAGTAAGAAAAGCCATATCGAGATAACGAAACTCTTCTGGCTGGCTATCAAAATCTACACATATTTATCTCTAATAAAATCACAAAACATAATTAAATAATAAATTTTTAGCCATTTACTTTGATCTCCGGAAATATTTTCCATTCAAGAAGAAAAACTTGAAAACTTGATTTTTCCATGTAGTTTATACAAATCTTTCAGAAATGTGACCATTTGTCTTGGTATGACACACAGGAAGACTGTCCAAGTTTTTCGAGTTATTTCCACGAAGTCTCTATGTACTTGAAATTAAAAAGCTCCCATTACCCAACCTTCCCCTAATAGGGGGAAGTTGTAATAAATCATTTTTACCGAAATTTTAAACATTTTAATTATTATTAAAATTTGTTTTTTGTTCTAGGGTGAAAATTGTAGCAAAAACATTTCCGGCTGCGAAGTAATTCCCTTCAGGAAGGGTTTCAATCACGTACCTGTACACCTGATATTTTTTTAAAAATTATTTATGAAGTATATTTTCTTTCTCTTTAAAGTGTACCCAATAAAGTTTTTATTTTCTTATATTTCTCATGAAAAAGAAAAATTTTTATTTTATAATAATTTTTAAAAAATTACACACATATTTAGCCATCGTGGCGCACGGATAAAATGTCTGCTTTTTCATGGAAATGCCCAAAATTTTTATTACATATCTCAACACGAACCTTCATTTAAAAAAATTTTATTAGTTGACCCTAATATTTAAAACATTTTGCAAAAATTTAATGTATTACTTGTATTATATTTATCATTCTGCAAAAAGACATTTTTTTCATAAATTCAAAATTTTATATTATAATATTGCGTTTTAATTATAATTGTTACAACATGCCCCAACACGGGTCAGTTTATTACAGATGGTTTTTTTTAAATGCGAAATTTTTTAATGTTTTATTAACTCACTTACTAATAGAAAGTTCATGAACATGCACATGAACCATTATTATTGACACAACAAAGTTTGTTACAAAACTTTAAAAACTTTGTAACGCAAGCTGAATACAAAAAGGACATTTTTATTTGCCACTTTAAAGAAAAAGTATGTACTCACCTAGAAAAATGCAGGTATTGTTATGTGATAGATATTCAAAGTCAAACTTGTGAATAACTAAACCAGTATATGCTGCAATAAGACTAGCCATGTGACACATTAATGTCTTTCCATGTAAATTATGAAGTTCGGGTACAATTGCATATACCATGAACGTAATTAGGAGAAATAGAATAGAAATAATCATGCCAATCGGATGAGTGCTTTCGGCAACATTTTTGCTATCATCTTCACAAAGTATAGCTGAGAAATTGTATATATAATCTGTCCAATCCAAACAATAATCAGAAGGTAAATAATACTGCTCCGAACTTCTTTGAAGCGAACCATTCTTATAGAGAAAAAACATATCTTCTGGATATTCAGGATTAAGAATTATTCTATTAAAACCATTGGGACACACAATCATACTTTGTACTATATGAAAAGCTTCTTCAAAATTATTAATTCCCCATAGGTCTCGATCTAAGTTCTGTTTATCAAGTCTTAGTGTAGGTAATGATCCTTTGACTGTTGTAAAATCAACACATAAACTTCCATTCAACACTTTTCCAACTTCACAACATTTTCTAATACATGGTTTTGATAAGTTATTGCACATACATCCATAAGTAATATTATTGTTATCATCAATCCAATAAAGATCTGGTGAGTAAGATCCTTGTCGATCGGTCAAAGTTTTGTTGGCCAGTATGGTGTAATTAAAGAGACGTTTTGTTAGTGAAGCAGGACAGGGTGAATATTTCATTTCTTCACAGCAGCATTGCATTACAAAACTGTACAATAAAACAAGTATTCCAACTTTTCTTTTACACATTGTTACCACCGTTTTTATATTTACATTTATTTTAATCATCATTTTGGATAAATAAGGCTGATTTAAACTACATTGTTTAAAATTAAATTATACTAATTTTATAATAATTTTTAAAATTATTCACTTTACTAACAATAAACACTAATAGTAGCATTTTCAATTTATAAATAATAAATATTCTCAAATGATCAGAGACTTTAAACTACTAAAAAAATTTCTAACAAGTTGAAAATTAAAAAATTTTTATGAATAATTTCATTTTTATGTATATTTATTTTATATTAATTTATTAAATCGATTACATTTTCATCATTATAACTTCATTCATTTAATTATTTAATGCACTTTTCAATACATTCAAAAAATTTAGTAATGTTAAAAAGGAACTGTTTCTGTCAACTACTCGCAAAGAACTAATGTCAAAAGGCATGAGTTTGTTTGAATGTCGATAAGAGCCTGTGTAAAAGCAATGGTGAGTCTTTGCGCGGGCGCATAGAAATATCCACTCCAGTTTAGGTTTTCAGTTTAGATTAAGGAAAAATATCAAATCCCAAATTAATAACTTTTTGATAACTTAATTTTTACTAAGATAAAAATGCATTGAAAATTTGACGGAAACAAATTAAAAAAGTCAAGTTTTTAAACGCATATAAATTTTTGATATTAATCTTTTTTTTAGTTACATTTATATTAACTTTAGTTCAAATATATTATTGATACTATATAAAATAATTTATAATTATATAATCTCATTTATATTTAATTTAAACAATTTATGTTAATATTATTTAAAGAGTTCCTTATTGTTAATAATTGTAAAGACTGTTTCTAAGTATGCAGAATTATAAATTATTTAGCTTAATTACATTTTTTATTAAATTGTCTATGCCTTCAAAGGGGAACGTTAGTAAATGAAGACACGCACTTTTTGTTTTTAAGCCCCTTTCCAACCTAACTCACTCTCCCCCCCCCCTCTCTCTCTCTCTCTCTCTCTCTCTCTCTCTCTCTCTCTTAGTTTAAAAAAAACGACACATTTTCTTGATCCTCATTTTCTTATAACATTAAAAATATATAATATTGTTCTGCGAGAAATTTTAAGGTGTTAAAACGTTTATTTGACATTATTATTTAAAATTATTATTATTAAACTAAAATACTAGTTTAAATTTGATAAATCAGACATAACTGCAGTTGATTACATAGAAACGTCACGAAATCTACTAATATTCTTCTCCGACCTCTATTATTACATCTCAATGGTTGGCTAAGAAATTGTTTATACAATTGTGTGACGTAACACAAAATCCAACATCCTTCCCCCTTTTGTTACAAATACTCTTACCTTTTCTCTTCTTTCATGTATGCCTACGCAATATTATTTAAACGAACCTTACATCTTTGTAATTTTTCAACAATAAAATTGTATGGCGTTTTATAATTTTACAAGACAATACAATCATTTTAACTCAGTTAAGTTATTCTCAAAATTGCACAAAAATTAAGACAATATTGATTATATTTGCCTTTAGGAAATATTGACTGAATTTAAGGCATTATTATCCATTATATTCTCCCAGAAATTATTAACAATTTCATTAAAAATTGATTGACGTCAATTTAATGATTAAAATTTCGTCAAAATGACTACTCGAATTGACGAAAATATGTCCCACATTTTGACCACTTTTTGATCATTTTTAAAATTGACGAAATTTTGACGACTTATTAATTTGACCATTTTCAAAATTGACCTAATTTTGTCAACTTATCAATGTAGACAAGTTTTGATAACTTACCAATATTTGATATTAAAATTATGTACTAATTTCTTTTAATTTCCATTTACATTCAACTTATGGTTGTGATAAATAAAAGACGTACCAAAATATTATATCCATTATTTTATCATTGTAGTAATGTAATAAATGTTTATGTTTATACTAATAATCACAAATAACCCAGGCAAAAAAGTCGGAAGTGTGCCGAACCTTACGACCGGTATGATACCTGCCCGGTAGTAATATCGGACATCCACCGGTGCCGGCACTGTGATACCGGCCGGTTACTAAAAAACAACCGGCCCCGTACCGAAAATTCAATCCCGTTTTTATTCCGGCAATGGAGTTATGCCGGCATCAAAACCAGTACCGACCCTGTAACAACATTCTACAGGCATTTCCGGAGGCCCAGTACCGGGCCGGTATCGAAAATTCTACCGGCGTGGATATTTCTCGGGTTATCATCCATGACCGGACTGCTCCACGCCGGCGGAAAGCCGCTCTTCTGCCGGCACCAGCAGGATACTTAAAGTCCACAGTTGGTATCGTCCCGGTACCATGCCGGTCAACGATTTCTGCCTGGGAATGTGTTTATTTTTAAACTATAATTAATTTAATTATTATTTAAGATAAACTTTTTCTTTCTTTTAAAATAATTAAAACAAATAATCCAAATGAACTTGCTTTTATTTATTGCGAGCAATCTAAATTTTAAATAAATGTTATATTTTCAGCGCAGTAACTAGAGTAGAATATTATAGAGTTATATATATACTAGGGGGGCTTCGCGCGCCAACCCCTTATTTAAATTTACTAAAAATATTAAATATTATTTTGATTAAATTTATATTTAATAAAAAAATTATAAATTTGAACAGCAGAAATTTATTTATATTTTAATATGAACATAAACTATATTTTAACTTGCATCCATAAACTAAATTTTCATCTATTCTGAAATTGAAAAATTAATTAGGGACCGAATAAGTTTTTATTGTATGTTTTTAAAGATTAATATAACCCAATTTCTTTAAATAAAATTTATTACTTCATTTTAAAGAATTTATTTCTAAGATGCACCGCGGATGACGTCCTTCTAACACAGTAAAAACAAAGTCTTAAACCGTTTACACCTTAAATTAAGCCCATATATTTTGCATAAGTCTGTCCTTTTTTAATTGGTCTGACTCCGTTTACACCTTAAATTCAGCCTCAAAAATAGGCTGAAATCAAGATTTCTTTTTTAGTGTGAACCTATAACCCCAAATTTTGGGGTAATGTCAGATTTTTTCTATAACTTTGACCAAATTTTGAGGTTATGTTCGCTTACACGCCTATGACCTTCAACGTAAATTTAAGGTTATGTTCTTCTTTGACCTATGACCTTTAAAAGTTTAAAGGGAGGGTCATATCTTGACCTCTGATAATAATTTTGAGGTTATGTCCGTCTCTACTTCATCAAAAACTTTGGTTTTTGACATATGTCCTTGATTTTTGAAGTTATGTTCGTTTTAATCTATTATTCTGTCGTTTGACCTTGAATATTGATGTTATGTTAATTTTTAACTTATGTTTTTGATATAGATAGTACAATATCTGAAATTTTCGAGACAAATTCTGAACGGTACGCGAGTTTTAATGCTTCGTGAGTTGAATGGTAGGCGAGTACTGTGAGCTTCCGCGTAGCGTCGAAGTTCTCGCCTAGCGTTGATTCTTGAATCAGCGGCGGCGGCGATATCTTTTTATAATATAGTAATAATATATATATGGGTGATTCTCCGCGTAGCGCACGATTTGGTGTATGAAACTTTAAAAATATTTTTTTATCGAAATGATAAATATTAATACATATTTTTGAAGATAAAGTGTCAAGAAATAAATATCCATGGTGGGCCGGAAAAATTTTTTATAATTTTTTAATTTTTTTAAACAAATTAATAAAAAATTTTTTGCTTGTTGAATTCTATAAAATAGTTGAAATTTGATTTAAAATGTTTATGGAAATTTTTGGGGTAATTCACAAAAATATAAATAGCGCGAACGACAATTAAAAATTTTATTTCAGTAATGTATGGAAATTTATGCGGTAATTTATAGAAATTTTGTCTAAAATTCATATAAATATGTAAAGCATAAATCACAATTAAAAATTATTATTTTGGTAATTTATGGAAATTTTCGAGGTAATTTACAAAAACATAAAAAGCGCGAACGACAATTAAAAATTTTATTTTAGTAATTTATAGAAATTTTGGCTATAATTCATAAAAATATGTAAAGCATAAATCGCAATTAAAGATTTTAATTTCGGTAATTTATGAAAAATTTCGTGGTAATTTACAAAAATATATATAGCGCAAACGACAATTAAAAATTTTATTTTAGTAATTTATGGAAATTTATGCGGTAATTTATGGAAATTTATACGGTAATTTATAGAAATTTATTTGGTAAGTTATAGTAAACTTACCTGAGCTATGATAGTTTATAATAAATATTTTGAATTTCGTTTGTTTCATTGTGTATTAAACTTGGACTAGTGACGGTCGAAATTTTGTGGCGGGTGGAGACGCTGGGGTCGGTCGAACCGGTGGAACTGATGTTAATAATTTTTTTTTTTGAGAAAATTATCATTTATTTTTAATCGGTTTCATATGTTTCACATAATATATATAGACTAAAATAATATAACTACACTTTATTTAACCTTTATTATTTAATTATATTCTATTTTTTTAAATAATATTGAAGGGTCGGTGGATGCCGGTGGAGACGATTTTGTGATGCCCTGTACAAATTTGAATCTTAAAATGTGTAAAAAAAGGATAAATCAATTAGAAAATTGATTACTTTCTTCATGGATCAACTTAAGGAATATAACTTTTGCTGTTACTGAAGTAGAACTATATTAACATTTGACTTTTATTTAAATAATTCAATGTTTAATAATAAAACGCAGAATAACACACAAAAGTACAGTCAAGAATAAATAGCAAAAAAAAAAGAAAATAATTTTTTTTTTGATCAAACGTTTTTTTTTTATTCAATTCCACTACAATATACAATACTAAAATAGCAATAGAAATTGTATTTATTAGTGCACATTGCTAAAAATATTAACTTTTTTGTTAAAACATCCTGTGGGGACAGGTCAAATTTTGACGTTTTCAGCCTTAAAAACCACTTTTCACGAAAAATTATAATGTTAAATACAAAAATAACTATTGGTTTTTGTTTGTAGTCACAGACATTACCTTTTTACATTGGAACCGAAATATTATGTGAATATTATTTGTGATTTTTCTTTCACAACATGAAAAAAGCAAGTTGTGCGCTACGCGGAGAATCACCCATATATATATATATTTCTTACATGGAACTTGACACTTCTATATTCAAGCAAGGTTCGTGCAAGATTGAATAGTTTCGCTTTTGAGTAAAATGTAAAGAAATTAAATTTTTTAAAGTTTTTCCTTTATAAAGTATTATTAACAATTTCTCGACCGAAATGCCAAATAGATTATATTGCATATATGGCCCTGTCAAGGGCCTATTCATTTTTTCTGATTTAAAAAAAATTCAAACTAATTAAGTTTTTAAAGTTAACATTTCGCAAAAATGTTATTGTAAGTTAGTTAAATGATTTCGATTTTAAATAATAATTTATTTCTTATTACTAAATTTTCTTATGGGTTCCTGTTAAATTCCCTAAGTACGGAACTCTCCATAGTTACCACGGTATTGACACATTTTTCAGAACGATGGCGTAAACGTCGCAATATATTTATTCCTACGCGTAGGAATTAGAGGAAAAGAAGTAGACCTACTGTTTTCATGTAGTCACTATTAATTAATGTAAAGACTGTCGTTTAAGTCTAACATATAATTTTTCTTGTAGAGTTAACTGTTATTTTGTAGTTAATATTACTATTTTTAGCAGTTGAAAAAGTTATTATGTAAAGTTTAGGAAGTATTAATTAAAAGAAGATAATATCTATTAAAAGTAGTAAATTTGACTACATTGGATAGTAAAATTAACTGCATAGTGACAAGAATGTCCTCAAATAATATGCAAGCATTCCTAGCGTGCGTGCGTGGTTACACTGTAAAAAGAAAGGTATTAATTTAATACCAACTTCAGGTACTAAATTGTCATTTGGTTCTATTTTGATACCTAAAATCGGTACTGTTTTAGTACTTTCTTTTTACAGTGTAGATGGTTAAGTTATCGGCTTGCGAATGTTAGGGTCGTGCGTTCCATCCCCAGCGTTTAGGGATTTTTCTCTGTTAGGTATATAAAAATTAAATATTATAAGGCATGTATAAACGAAAGTAGTAGGGGAGAGGATGAAACAATGAACCTCAATACTAATATTAATAATGATAATTATACTACTTTAAATAGTTTTTTTACTAACTTTAACAGTTAATCTGACAATTTTTACATAGTTGTTTCAATCACTGTTTGTTATAAACGCCTCCTGAAACTAGGAGAAATATTTAAAATGTAGTCAAATTTACCATGAATTTTTTTGAGGCTGTATAATATAAAGAAATAGGGTATTCGTATGGAAAATTGGTAAGGCCCTCACCAGTTTTCCTTACATTGGGCATTGGTGAGGAAAAGCATTACACCCTTATGTGGCTTTGATCAGTTTTTCCCACAAGGCCCTTACCAGAGATCGAGAAAACTGGTAAGTACCTCATGAGTGTCGTTAGTACATTTGGCAAACAAAGACTTTATATATTTTATAATTCAAAAAGATGGAAAACTAAGTAGTGTCGCGCGCGGTAGTAAATGAGATTTTCTCGAATAATTGCACCAACACTACCTGCAAAAACCAAACAAAAAACCTTATATTCGTGACGAAGTAAATAACACGATTAGTACTACAAAAATATGTGCCTGTCAAATAAGAAATGTTTTATGTAATAGCAAATGTAACAATAGTTACATGGATTATATATTTGGTAAAGTACTTCATAAACCCCAATAGGGTTTGTTAAAAAAAATTTACTGCGCAGCCGTATATGTGCTATAGAAAACTACTGCACATAAATATTAATAAAATTTATTTATTAAGAACATTCTTTGTTTACAGTAACCTTACAGCAACCTTACTTCTTCACAGCAAGAAGTCGTGGTATGTGGGCAGTCAACTGAAATTTACCACATGAAATCCTATATTGTTTCCTATATATAAATCCATGTAAAATCTTAGGTTGATATTTCAGAATCGACATGAAATCCCATGTGATTTCCTATATTCAAATCCATGTGAAATCATATGTAAGAATGCACATGAAATCCCATGTGGTTTCCTAGAGGTGCATGATTAAACCCCAAATTTGTTTTTTCGAATTTTTATTTTCTCGAAAATCGTTTAATCTAAAAGGAATTGACTATAATTTTTTGAATTCGAATCGTCAGATTATATAATAAAAATAGTTTCGAATTATTATTTGACAGAATTTTTTAACTTCGAAAGAACATTTTTTATAATTTTCAATTTACCGAATAATCATTTCTCATAATTATTATTGTAGCGAATTAGTATTTTTTATAATCTTTATTTTTTCAAATAAAAGTTTATACTATTATTGATTTGACATACAGTGCGGTCTCGTAACTGCAACATTCTCTGAAATTTCCCACTCTTTCGGACTTGATACTGCAACATATCCCACTACCTACCATTTCAGGGACGTACATACCTACTATACGCGAGAAAATTTAAGACCCCTGAAAAACGGACTACTTTCATACTTTCACTTTGAATTTCTCTTTAAAAAAATTTTTGGGAAAAAATGACAAAAATCCTTTAAAAAATTTAATTTTGTTAATAAAATTTGCTTATATCAAAATTTTGTTTATCTTATCAGATAAATTAAATAAATATTAAAAATAATTGTTATACATTCTATAATATACATTTAAATTTAATTTAAATATTCTTTATGTTTAATTTAATTAGTATATTAAAAAGTACATTATTTTATTTGTTTTAAATATATTTTATTGTTTCTATTATACCATATTCAAACAATAATTTTTAAACATATTTTTTGTTTCAATGAACAATTTTCATTTAAAACATCAACCTCGAGAAACACTAAACTTTTTATTACAATCTGAAAAAAAATACTGATAAATAATCTTTTAAAATTATAAAATCGTTAAAATTTAAATTTAGTTTTTTAAATCAGAGAATTTCTTTTTTCTTATTATGTTAAAGCATTTTATGAATCAAGAAAAAATCATTCTTTAAAAAATACATAATATTATGAGTACACGTCATTCCTTTTTTGCAACATTCTCCATATACATAATATTATTTTGTATTGTCGTCTAAAAATAAATTTCTCACATGAGCCACAACATCCTTAGTCTCATTCTTCAATCTTTGAAGGAATATTAAACTTTTGGAATCACACTTCCACTGCCTTTGATACCATTCTTGAAAAGTATTTAAACATTTTAGAGCTTCATCTGCTTCCGTAACAATATTTCCGGATTCTGAAATTGGATCAATATCTTCCATATCTTCCTCAGATTCTAAATCTTCAGTCATTTGTTCTTCGCCATTATCCTTATTTGAAGATTCAACTCCAGAAGAATAACTGAAATAAATTTAATAAAATATTTATAAAGCAGAAATTCAGAATTTTTTTTTTAAATCAGAGAAAACATTGTTTGAATTAAAAACATTACTTTAAAGCAATAAAATAATTTTAATAATGAATAATAATAAAGATGATTGATTTTTTTTAATGAAACATTTTCTTGTTATTAATTTTAAAAAAAATCAATTTTTACCGTTGTAAAATCTGATGAATACTTTCTAAACTCCAACCAGTCTCATCACTATCTACCTCAAGCCAAGAAAGAACATTTTGGATATTAATGTCCTGGTAACCAGGAAGTCTGTACAAAATTTGTAGAATATCATCGACAGAAACATTACTAGCTTCAATATCAATGTCACAAGAAGGTATCAACTTCCTCCAAGCTCGAGAAACATTTGTCGCATTTACATCTTCCCATGCCAATGCGATAAGCGAGCAACAATTAAGCACATTTAAACCCTTTATGTACTGTAGAAGACTTTCTTCATTTTTTTCCAAAAGCATGTCCCTCAACAGGCTTCTTCTATAATGCCTTTTCATCTTAGCTATAATTCCCTGATCCATAGGTTGAATAAGAGAAGTTACATTTGGAGGAAGAAATAAAGCCTGAAATAAAATATTTTCATTAGTTAATAATTTTAATTTAAAGTATATATATAAAATTGTAAAAGAAATATTTAAAAATACTTACAGTACAAATATCGGAAAGAGACTCTATGTCTTCTTTAGATAAATGACACTTCGCATTATCCAGAATTAATAAGACCTTGTATGATTTTCCTTTCTTATCTTGAAATTTTTTTACTGAAGTTATAAATACTTCAGTTATCCAAATTTTGAACAAATCGCGAGTCATCCATGCACTTTTTTGGTTTTGGTAAACAACTGGCAATTTTTTAATACCTTTGAAACACCTAGGTTTTTTGGATTTACCAATTACAAACAGAGGGATTTTGTGACTGCCATCAGCATTCGCGCAAACCATGACAGTTACGCGTTCTTTAGACATTTTAGAGCCTTCAGCTTTATTTTCATACTCGGTGACAAAGGTTGCCCGAGGCATCATTTTCCAAAAAAGACCAGTCTCGTCCGCATTATACACTTGATGTAATTCAAATTTTTCCTCGCGCATTACCAATGCTAAATCGTCTACAAATTCGACAGAGCTCTCAAAATCAGCGGACAATTGTTCTCCTTGCATTGTAATAGAGCGAATGTTATACCTATTTTTAAAATTTGTCAACCATCCTTTACTGGCTTTGAATTCGGGATCAGCGTCCATTTCTTTATTGATTAATAATGCCTTTTCTTGCAAAATTGGAGATGTTATCATTTGTCCAGCTACTCTTTTTTGTTTAAACCATTCGTACAGCACGTCCTCAAGAATCGAAATTTTTGACATTTTTTTTCGTTTTTCGTGAACAGTATTATCCAATTGTAGACGAGAAATATTTCTCATTCTAAAAATTGTTGACCGCGTAACGTTGTATTTTCTCGCAATTTCGGCATAATTTATTTTAATACCCTTCTCTTCATGTAACTTGAAACTTTCCAAAATTTCTTGACGATCTTCTAAAGAAAGCCACTTATATTTTTGAGACTTTTCTGACATTTTCTGAAAATATAAAAAATTGTTTGATAAAAATACAAAAAAGTAATAATTAAATAATAAATTTGAAAAATAAATAATAATAATTATTATAAATAAATAAATAATGAAAATAAATACAATACTTATTTTTAAAATTTTCAAACGCGCGAGAAAAAAATTCTTCTGTAAAATTTACGAGTGTTTCTCGAAGAAAAGAAGAACAATGTTTATTGACATCAAAGTATTTTTATTTTAATCGATTAAGATTTTGATTTGACGAATAAAATCTTTCAATTTGAAGAAATTTTGGTTTATACAAAAATTATTTGATTAAAAAAAAATTTTTCAATTTAGAAAAAAATTATTAAAAATTAAAAATCTTCATAATTAAAAATTATTTTATTTAAAGAAAACATTTTTCGATTCAGAGAAAGAAAATCTTTGTTAACAATTTTTCATTTAGAGAAACAAATTTTGGACTCAAGGTTTTTGTATACTAACATATTGATAAAACTATTTTGTTTATTTTTAATAATATATTGAAAAATAGTTTAATTAAATTAAAAAAGGATTTATTTGAATGGAAAAAAGTGTTTACAAAGAAACTATATTATTTATATTTTCATTACTAATATGTTTTTTTATATAGTGAATTAAGTAAAGTTTTACATTGAATTAATATTTAATTATTTATTAATACTTACTATTGATGGCAATTATACTTTTTATCCAAAATTTGAGTCACTTTTTGCGCACAAGTTATATTTCATAAAATTTTTTCAATAATTCCTAAAATTTACCGGACATCCAAACTATTCCGATTTGAAACAGTCACTGAAACTGCTTCATCATTCAATGAAAACACTTTTCATTTGTGTGTATTGAAATCTATTAAGAGGTGTTTATATTTTCAAATATATGTATTATTATTATTTATTAATTACTACGCAGAAGATGAATATCAAATCCAATTTGCATATTATATATCACTAATATTTTAAAAATGACACCAAACTTTTATATTTATATGAAACATTTAATAATTACATAATTAAATTTTAATTATATTTTTATAATTATTTATATATTTATTTACTTTATATATTTTATAATTTATTTTATTTATCAATTTTATTTTAAATTTTAATTATAAAACAATTTTAGAGTTTTTTTTCATTTTTATTTATGAATACTTGATATTCATTTTCCGCTGTAGATACGGCACTGAAAGCTGCCGACGTCACGTTTCAGTTTCAAGTCCGGTGGTCGAGGTGGGGTGTTGCAGTAACGAAACTGTTGCAGTTTCAAATGTTGCAGTTACGAGACCGCACTGTAATTATTTATTACGATCCCTGGCGGATTGGGTAAACCGAGATGTAACCGGATTGGGTTACGATTCGATTACGTTTCGGTTATTTGTGAAAAATTGTCGTTAATCGACGAAATATGTTGTAAATAACTATTAGGAATGGTCTTATTTATACAATAATAACAATAAATTAAGATATAATTACTCAATAATAAGTGTTTTAAGTGTACAATGCATACAGTTGTTGATTTACCATATATGTATATTACCATCAGCGGGAGCTGTGAAACGCGCTTTAAACAGTAGATGGCGTTGAAAATTACTTTGTGAATGAATTTCTAAAATTAAACTTTAGAGTGTCAAATGTGTAAGTGAATATAAGTTTTAAAAAAATAGATCGATTAATTGAAACAACTTTTTTCATTTCTACAAATATAAAAAAAAAAATTTCTGAATAAAAATTAAATAGATCGATTAATTAAAACAACTTTTTTCATTTCTACAAATATAAAAAAAAATTTTTCTGAATAAAATTTTTTTTTTCTCATTGACATGAGAAAAATTAATTGTGACACAAAGAAATCTATTTTTCCCTAAAAAAATTTTTTTCTTAATAATAATTTTTTTTTCACAATAAAATGAAAAGATTAATTTTTACACAAACAAATTTTTTTCATGATAAAAAATTTTATTTTTTCAATTAAATGAGAAAAAGTAATTGTGACACAAAAGAAACTTTTTTCCTCAATAAAATAAGAAATATTAATTTTGAAACAAAAATTTCTTTTCTAAATGAAAGGAGAAAGATTAATTTTGACAGAAAAAAAATTTTTTTCATTAAAAAAATTTTTGTTCCTAGTAAAATTTTTTTTTATTTGTACAAATGAAAAAAGTTGTTTTAACAAATCGATCTATTTTTTTAAAACTTATATTCACTTACACATTTGACACTCAAGGGTTTAATTTTAGAAATTCATTCACAAAGTAATCTTCAACGCCATCTACTGTTTAAAGCGCGTTTCACAGCTCCCGCTGATGGTAATATACATATATGGTAAATCAACAACTGTATGCACTGTACACTTAAAACACTTATTATGAAGTAATTATATCTTAATTTATTCTTATTATTGCATAAATAAGCACTCTAAATGTCTATTAACCATTCCTAATAGTTATTTACAACATATTTCGTCGATTAACGACAATATTTTACAAGGAACCGAAACGTAACCGAATCGTAACCCAATTCGGTTACAACTCGGTTTACCCAATCCGCCAGAAATTTCTCATAATTTTTTTTCTTCGAATTACCATATGGCATAATAAATATTTTTTCGAACAATTATTTGTTCTACAATGTAATTTAACAAATTTATATTTTTCTTTTTTTACAAGTTACGATTTGCTATTTTATATAATTTTCATTTTACCGAATTGCCGTTTTACATAATTTCTAAATTTTCTAATTATTATTTTTCCGAATTTTAATTTTAACGAATTATTAATATTAGAATTATTTTTTTGCGAAAAAAAGCGTGGGTAACCCAGACTGAATGCAGCCTTTATACCACTGTCGATCAAAATTGGTTCAAGATTGGTTGCCAATGCTCGTCTCATGCTGGATTCAAGTTTAGTTGAATCCTCATGATATAAGTTATTAATTTAATAAAAATAAAAGTTTATACATTCATTACAAAGTTTTTTTATTCCATTAATAAAAAAAAATTTTAATATAATTTATTTAAATTAATAGCAATATATAAATTAAAATAATGAATTAAAGTCTTGAGCGAGCCTGAATCAGCATTCGGCAAGATTGATTGAGTCTTGGTCACCAATGCTGAATCAAGAGTGGAGCTTCAGGTCGGAATCGGTGTTACATTCTAGCTCGGATGAGTCTTATTCCCGCTGACTGACCAAGGCTCAGTCAATATTGGCCAATGCTCAACGAGTCTTTAAAAAGCCTGAACCCAGCGTCCCTTCGCTCCTGGGCTAGGTCATCGCTTGTCGGTATGGTAGAGTGCGTTACAGGAAGTGGCGCAAAAATTCCAGAAATTAATGTAGATGGGAAACTACAGTTTAGAAATTGACCGGAAGTATATTAAGGCAAATGGAGTTTCTGTAAAATTCTGATTATGGCATATAATGATTCGAGAAAATAGAGATTAAAATAAATAAATATTTGGGGAAATTAAAATTATGTTAAATGGTAATTCGCAAAAAAATAATTCTAATATTAATAATTCGGAAAAATAATAATTAGAAAATCTAGAAATTATGTGAAATGGCAATTTGGTAAAATTAAAATTATAAAAAATACTAATTCGCTACAATAATAATTATGAGAAATGATTATTCGGTAAATTGAAAATTATAAAAAATGTTCTTTCGAAGTTAAAAAATTCTGTCAAATAATAATTCGAAACTATTTTTATTATATAATATGACGATTCGATTTGAAAAAATTATAGTCAATTCCGTTTACATTAAACGATTTTCGAGAAAATAAAAATTCGAAAAAACAAAGGACCCCGCACAAAATACATAGAAAGTAGGTCTAAGTGGAATTTTTTTAAACTCTGCAAAAATGTAGTTCAAAATATACCTGACAAAAAATGTTAATGGAAAAATGATAATGGGCAGATTTTTTGATACAATAGTTTTTAGGATGGTTTTTAGAAAAAAAAGAAAAATGTTCTTACTTTACAAAAACAAATATATTTAAAAACGTGTAGATCCGACTGCTTATAATTCATTCATTGCTCACTACCATCAAAAGTACTGATCTGTATTTTCATGTCACTCTCACTTTACATTCATTTCAATTTTACTACTACACAGTCTTAACATTGAAGTGAAGTGAAAGTACGAATGAAATAAATATAAAGTAAAAGTGACAATCCAAGTGCATTCTATTTTCTCTTCATACTCACTCCACTCTTACTTTCACTTCACTTTCATCTTAACTTACACTCACTTGAATATCATATCCTTCTTTCTCTTACACGGAAAAAAAGAAAAAGTAATTTTTACTACTTTCATAGTAAAACGGGAACTGTCCGAAGTTTTTGCGCATCTCTGGTAACTTTTACTCCAAAAATAGTAAAATTAACTCCAGAAATAGTAAAAATTACTACGGAACAGTAAAATTTACTTCAAAAATAGTAAATTTTAATATTTTTGGAGTAAAAGTTGCCAGAGATGCGCAGAAATTTCGGACAGTTCCCGTTTTACTATAAAAGTAGTAAAAATTACTTTTTCTTTTTTTCCGTGTACTTTTAGTTTACTTTTTCATTTAATATATAATTCTTTAAGGTACTCCTACATGATGTCACATTCAAATCACTTTCACATCATATTCATTTCTCTGTTACTTTCACATCACATTCTCTACAATCTCACTTTTTTAATACTTTACTGTCACTTGAATATCACTTTCACTTCGCTCACATCAAACAAGACTGGAGTTAAGTCAGAGTTGCAGTGAACAAAAGTGAGTGAGAGTGAAGATAAAATCAGAGATAAGTGAAAAGGAGACTGACACTTAGAGTAAAAGGGAAGTAAGATAAAAATGAAAATAAGAGTGAAATGATCGTGGCAGTGTAAGTGTAGTGATAATGAATTAAGTTGAAAGTAGGAGTTAACGTGTAGTATGATGAATTGATAAATGAAAATAGTAAAGTAATGAATGTGGGAGTGAGATGAAAAGTAAAAGTAAAAATTAAACGAATATGGGAGTGTCAGTGATGTGATAGTAAAATCATTGAAAAGTGGGAAAGAAAGTGAAGTGATGGTGAAGTATGATGAAATGAATGTCGGATTGTAAGTGAAGTGATAGGGGAATAAGTTGAAAAAAGTAAGATTAAAGTAATAGCTAAATAAAAATAAGAAGGAATTAAATATGGGAGTGAGAGCGAAGTGATGGCTAAATAAATATGAAAGTGGGGAGGGGGTCAGTGAAGTATTTGTGGAATAAGTTGAAAGTTAAGTTCGATCAAAGTAAAAGTAAGAGTGTGAATGTCGAATTGTAAGTGATGTGATGGTGAAATAAGTTGAAAGTGAATGTCAAGTGACAGTGATGTAATATGAAAGTAATAGATAAATGAAAATAAGATTAAAATGAATGTGGGAGTGAGAGTGAAGTGTGAGGAAAGTGATAGATAACTGAGAGAAAGAGAGAAATTAACGTAGAAGTATAAGTGTACACTGCAAATCAAAGTATGTTACTGTAATGCATATAAATCTGTTTATACATATAGAAGTACATACTTGTGCGGATTATAACACACTTGGTTTTACAGTGTAGTGATAGTGAAATAAGTTGAAAGTGAATATGAAGTGACGGTGATGTAATCTGAAAGTAATAGCTAAAAGGAAATCAGAGTGAAATGCATGTGGGAGTGAAGTGAAATGAAAGTGATAGGCAACTGAAAGTAAGAGTGGAAGGAACATGGGAGTGTAAGTGTAGTGACAGTGAAATAAGTTGAAATGTTAGTGAAAGTAAAGTTATATAGAAGTAATTGATAAATAAAAATAACTGAAGTTAATGTGGAAGTTAGGATGAAGTGAGATGAAAGTGATATTTAAGTAAAAGTTGTAGTGAAATGAATGTAGGAATGTAAGTAAAGTGATAGTGAAATAAGTAGAAAAGAAAGTGACAATGATGAACGATGAAAGTAATAGCTAACTGAAAAT